AGGGCTCCTGCGCGATTTCCACTTTCGCGCAACACAGCTTGCCCGATTTTGGAGTTGAGCGATTTCAATTTCGCGCAAAACACTCTGTGCGATTTTGATCTTGAGCTATTTCAGGACTTGAGCGATCTTTTGGAGTTGCCCGATTTCACACCTGCGCGATTTTCACACTTGCCCGTAGGGCTGCACAGAAATTTCCCGAACCCGCAAAACCCGGCCGCCCCGACCCTACCCGGCCCGACTTTAGTCGGTTATTAGGCCCATACAAAATGTTGTGGGTTTATTTTTTTCAAACCCGTACAATTGGGTAGGGTTGCGGTATTCCCATGAAAAACCCGATAACCCCCCGACCCGACCGCATAATTTAACATTAGTACATGCGCCTCTACATATTCTGCATTCACGCTTTAAGTTTTTTGTTCTCTGGCTCTATACTTTCTGTTTCCCATCTCATCGATGCTCTCAATCTTTAATTTCCTTCGACTCTTCGATTCTCAAAATATGAAAGCTTCAACATTCGTAATAGGCTCAGGCTATTTTACCTATTTATATGCATCCAACAACCCTAAGCCCCTAAGTCCGATTTTCATCTTCTTTCTCTGGCAGTCAAGAACTCAGGATCCTTGAAGAAGAGTTGATTTGTTGAGCTACGAAAAGAGGTATGCACCCATCTTCTTCATTAATACGACACTTAGGTTGGTTTACTGTTTTATTCTTCTCTTAATTTTTCATTTATTTCATATAATTCTTGAATTTCTTTCGCTATTTTTGTGTAGATGGATTCACTTGATGTGTCTGATTCAGTTAATATAAGCTTAGAAACACTAGACGCACCCAACCCAACAACTCTCACCCCCTCTCAGAATCAAACCCCCCCTCCCGTTCGAGTCAGTGATGTTGAGGTAGAAAAAGGATCTTCAGGGAAAAAGAAATCTTACCTTTGGAGTCATTTTACTCTCATTTCGGGGAGGATTCAAAAGACCCTAAGTGCTCCTGCAACTATTGTGGAGCAGAATACAAATGTCACAGTAGGAAACATGGAACTAGTAGCATGAAAGTTCATTTTGAGCATCAATGTAAAAAAAATCCACACAAAGTCCAGGATATGAAACAAAAATGCTTGAGCTTTGACATAGCTGGAAATGGTGGTCTGACTGCTGTAGGATTCAATAAAGACAATTGCAGGCTAGCTTTAGCAAAAATGGTTGTCATGGATGAATTGTCTTTTAGATTTGTTGAGGGTGAAGGATTTATGAAGTTTTGTCAAGTAATGCAGCCCAAATTTGTTATCCCTTCTCGTATGACTGTTGCTAGGGATGTGCATAAGCTATTTTCTGATGAAAAGAAAAAACTCCGGGCTGAGCTAAACAAGGGATACCAGAGAGTATGCTTGACCACAGATTGTTGGACCTCTTTGCAAAATATAAACTATATGTGCTTAACTGCTGCTCACTACATTGATGATGAATGGAATTTGTGTAAAAAAGTTTTAAACTTTTGTCAAATTTCTAGTCATAAGGGGGAGTTAGTTGGTAAGGTCATTGAATCTTGTTTTCATGATTGGGGTATTGATAGAGTTTTAACAATTGCAGTTGATAATGCCTCTTCTAATGACACTATGATTGCATTCTTGAAAAGAAAATTGAATGGCTGGAAAGGTTCTATTTTGGGAGGGGAGTTTATGCATATTAGGTGTTGTGCTCACATCATTAACCTAATTGTGAGTGAGGGATTAAAAGACCTTCATGATTCGATTTATGCAATATGTAATGTGGTGAGGTTTATCCGGAGTTCTCCCGCTAGACTTTCAAAATTTAAAGCATGTGCTGAGAGGGAAAAGATTGAGTTTAATGGGCTGTTAGTATTAGATGTACCCACTAGGTGGAACTCTACATACCTGATGTTGGATTCAGCCATTAAATTTCAAAGTGCATTTGAGAGGTATGAAGATGAAGATGACAAGTATTTGTCTTATTTTGGTGAGGAGGAAGGTGGGAAAAAAAAAGGCCCTCCAACTTACACTGATTAGGAGAATGCAACAGTGTTTGTCAAGTTTCTAAAAGGTTTTTATAACACTACTTTGATGTTTAGTTCAACCTTAAACATCAAATCAAATGCCTACTTCCATGAGCTATGTGAAATGCAAAGTCAGGTATTTACTCTCATATTATTCATTTTTTACTTCTTTTTATCTACTTCTCAAGTTTCATATGATAATAATGAAAATACACCTTTTGTTTTATGATTTGTCAGCTCACATACTTAAGTAATCAGAAGGGCTCTCTGCTTTCTAAGATGGCTGCTAGCATGAAGAAAAAATGTGATAAGTATTGGGGGGATATGAATAATGTTAATTGTATTCTGTTGGTGGCAGTAGTACTTGATCCTAGGTTTAAAATGGAATACTTGACTCACTGCTTTAGCTACCTTTTTTATCAAGGATCTCCCTTGCATGAAATCTTCCCTAAAAAAGTGAAAGATACGTTGTATCGTTTGTTTGAGTTTTATAGTGGTTTTGGGTCGGGAAATGAGGTGAAAGATAGCAATTGTGGTGAAAGAATTGCAGGTATGAGTGCTAATGCTAGTCTGGAAGGGAGAAACTGTCTATGGGGCTCTTTTGCTCAAAAGATGAAGCAGAAAAATGAAAATGATTTCAAGAATGAGATTGAAAGGTACTTGGTAGATCCAATAACAATTGAAGATCCGACAATTGAGAATTTTGATCTATTATCTTGGTGGAAGCTAAATTGTTCCAAGTTCAATGTTCTTTCACAAATTGCAAAAGATGTTTTGGCTATTCCCGTGTCAACAGTAGCTTCCGAGTCAGCCTTTAGCACTGGTGGCCGAGTCTTAGATCCATTTAGGAGCTCATTGAGTCCAAAGACAGTGGAAGAGTTGATATGCACTCAGAAATGGCTTCGAGGCTCTCTTCCTGCCGAAAACATAGACCTTGAGAAGATGGAGGCATATGATATTGCAGATTTAGGTATTTATATCTTATATTCTGAATTTAAATTTACTCTTTTAAGTTTAATGCTCTAAATTGTGCTTTTTTTCAGGTGGATCTTCTTTGGTTGGCAATGGTGAAGCATTTTCTGGAGATGTTGGAGCTAGGGGCTGATTGATCAACATCAATGTTTTTTGCTGCTGCACACATGGATGCATAGTTTTCTTTTTTCTTTTTTCTTATTAATACTGGATATCTCAATTATGAAGATGCTTTTGTGGCTTTTATGCTTTTGCACTTATCTCCAGTGGTGCTTGTTTTTTGCTTATTGTTACAAGCAGCTCTGAACTTCTTTGGTTATTAATTTAACCAAATGTTTTGCAGAACTATTTTTGTTTATCCATCTATGTATTCAGAATGGTTTTGTTTTACTCAATGCATGATTAGTTTTAAAAAGGTGGATGTTTTTCTATCTGTCATGGGCAAGGATACTCACATCTCCGTTCCTCTTTTTATTTCCCGCATCTAAAGAACACTTGTTATTATTTTAGTGTAAAACTTTTCTGTTTTAGCAGAAAAAATGCATGATTTGTTTTTACTTTTTCTTCATAGTTCACAGAATAGAAGTACAAAACCGTAAATGCCTCATAAGTGCATTAAGGATCAAACCCGAAATGATTTTATTTTTGTTTACCCAACCCTACCCGACCCGTTCATGTATGGGTTGTCAACTAATTTTACGCATTGCGGGTTGATTTATAGCCAACCCGAATAAATTGGGTAGGGTCAAAAATTATAGTAAACCCGACCCAACCCGCCTGATGTGCAGCCCTACTTGCCCGATTTGAAGTTCCCCGATCTATGGAGTTGCCCCATTTGGACTTGAGCGATCTTTGAAGTTGCCCTATTTCAACACTTGCCCCATTTCAAAGAGTTGCCCCATTTGAACTTGAGCGATCTTTGGAAGTTGCCCCATTTCAAAAGTTGCCCCATTTCAGGAGTTGCCCCATTTCAATACTTGCCCTATTTCAAAAACTTGAGCGATCTCAACACTTAAACATATTTGCAACACCAACAGTGCATCAACCTACTGCTTGAAGTTGTAAACAAACAGAAACAGGACTTAATCAATCAACTGATCAGCCTAGTCAATTATAAAATGGACGCTTTGTCAATTGGAAACGACACAAGACCCCCTATTCTACGAAGAGGAGAGTACAACGTTTGGAAGAACAAATTCCTTAACTTTCTTGAAATGTAAGGATCAATCATCAGGACTGCTTGACTCCATCACTAATGGACCTGCTCAACTTCTCATTCCCATTGACAGAAATGAAGTGAACAACACATCGGTTGAAGTTGAGTGGAGACCCAAGACAGCTGAGGAGTACGATGATGACAAGGACCAAGCTAGACTCCGAGCTGACTTGCTTGCTAAGACTTATCTGCTACAGGCTATCCCGAACAACATCTACATGCAGATTGACAGCATGTCAACAGCAAAGGAGATGTGGGACGTAATCTTCAAGATTATGCAAGGCACAGAGATTGGAGTCAAAACAAAGAAAGCCAGCACCTTCACAGCATATGATTCTTTCAAAGCTAAACTCGGAGAATCCCTTGAAGATACATATCTCATATTCTTGCAGCTAATCAATAAGATGAGAAAGATTGGCGTGCATAAGTCTAATATGGAGTTGAATGTGAGATTTATGTCTGCTCTTGGGCCTGATTGGAGGAAGTTGTGTTCACAGATAAGCACTACTAGAAAAATGCCTTACAGTGACACCAAATTAGTGTCACTGAAAGTTTCTGTGACACTAAAAAAGTGTCAATGAAAGTGGGATCTAGTGACACTTTTTAAGTGTCACTGAAAGTGTCACAAAATTGTGACACTATCGTATCACCAAATTATGACATTATGGTATCACAAAACGTAATGACACCACAATATCACAAAAGTCAATGACACTACGACATCAGAAAATTCAATGACACTACGGTATCGCAATACTCAATGACACGCTAGTACTATGAAAGCATACACATGATACATTGATTGCAGTACACACACAATTTAATACTAATAAATAACCAAAATTTCAAACATTTTTATTATATCTGAAATTCTCACATACATGTGAATGTACATACTACATTATTAAAAGGGGCATACCCCGCAACAAAAAATAATAAAGAACAAAAAGCTACTAGATCTCTGGTACACTTGTCATTACAGAGGCAACTATTTTGGCCAATGAAGAGGCAACTGTAACTTCTCCAGCTCCTAGATCACTGGTACACTTGCATCTGGAAAATTTCCTGTCAACACAACTACTCTGAAAAAGAAAGCCAAGAAAAGCATTTTCACACAACAAAATAAAGGATTGGAAAAATTCTTACCCCTTTTTGCAAAATCAGGTTTGATTTGCTCATATGCAGGAAATTGGATAGCAATGTGACTGACCCCAGCCAAAACTCCCCAGATAACTTCAATGAGATCTTGCTTCACACAAAACTCTTGTCTCATATACAGATTTGAGGCTTTAAATAGTCATCAAAATACTAATATTTCCCTATAATTATGAGGCAACCAAGAGGAGTTGGATTCAACCTCACCAACATTACTCAATGCGAAGAAAAGTGTTCCCATAATTACTAATGCAAACCTCCCGAAAGAGGTCTAGAGCCACCTGAAATAAATGTAGTAGCAAATTTTCGCTCTTTTTGGATTGAAATGAATCTGGGTAAATAATTTGATACATAATGTTTCGTGATTTATCATTTATTTGATAGAATCAATCTAAGCTAACTGTAACACACTTTTGCTAATATCCGAGCGGGCTGTTTGATCACATATACTTTTTATAATTTTATTTTTACTACTAATGCTACGAAGTATTATTTTCTTATGGTAACCTATCTATTTTAACTATTCTTTATAATACTAATTGGACTCATTAGCTGCTGGGCATACAGAATTGGATAGAAGACTAGCCCTACTAGAGTACTAGACATCTATTATCTACGTACCTATAACATGCACAAATTTGATGTTTCGCATTATATGGTTATGTTTTTGTCTTAAACTTATCGCTTACATTTTCCTTCTTTGTTTTTCACTTCTGTTGTTTCAAACTCAACTGTAAAGAGTTTCTAGATTTTGCATTTTGGGAATGGGTTCAGTACCCTCTCATTTCAGATAGGAGGACTAAGCCTAGCCTGGAAAAATAGACATTTAAAATCACAACTGAACCTAATCTAAAATGACAATGAAAATTTTCTACAAATTTAACCTTTTCAAAGAAGATGAAATTTCTACACATTTAAAAAATTGCTTTCCCAACATAATCGTTTATAGCCTTAACTAAATCAAATCAATAAATAAATAAAAATTAGCACTCTTACTTGAAGAACAGCTAGGAGGAAAGACGAAAGAGCAGCTTTTGATCCGTAACCATGTTTTGATTGCAGGATAAGAACTATGCATAGAAAGTAAAAGTGTGAAAACCTGAAAATAAATGATATTTTTAAATTGCAAATAGAGATTGTGTGGTAAATAAGACAAAGCTTAAACAACAGATTTAGTATTACCAAGTATTGGGTGGTAAATATCAAAGACCTCCCTTTGGCGAAAATAGAAAATCGGAAAGATTACTATTGTCAACGAAATAGAATGCTCCTGCACCAATATATTAAGTAGTGAGATAAATTCTTAAACAAAACCAACACATTGTTAAATGAACTGCATATTATTATAATTATTACGGAGTACTATTCATCTACTCATCTAGTTCGGCTGAGGGATATATTGAGACCTATACAATTAATCTGATCTTTTTACCTTCTATCAATAAGCTACTTCATTCATGATTTTGAATGATTAAAACCACTTATTTTGAAACCAATTTTCCAGAAATAAACTACTTCTTCAAATGAGTAAATATAGAGTTTTAGTACAGAGCATCTCAATGTTATGTCCTACTCATTTATTATAGTCCAAAAAAGCTGCTCAAACTTAAAATTCTCTAAAACCTAATTGATGCAGTTCCAATTTAAAAACTAGGAAAAATAAGCAAACTCAAATATATATGTCCTAACGAAGATAGTAACTTTTTAAGCAAACTAGCAACTATATATGGCCTTACCAAGATAGTTTCATTGGACATCAGCAAAGCCTAAGAGAAGATACCAATACCAGGGAACCTACATGCAATTAATTAACCATTTTATTACCTCAACATATATAGATATTAATTAAGATTAACTCAAATTGAACTTTTTTTTATCGATAAAATGCTCCATTTTTTACATTCTACAGTTAGAAGAGTACTTTTAAACAGGGCTTTTGGTGGTTCTCTTCTATAAATTGATTACGGCGAAAATACGCCCCCCCCCCCCATAGATTATAGCCTAAAGCTGTATCAGTAAGACACTCACCTGATTAGAAGAATAGCTACAAGAGAAGATTCAGAAAAAATGAAAATAAAATACTATGAAAAATCTAGGAAGAAGATAGAAGGGAAAAAATAAAGTGGGTGGGTTCTCCTCAAAGAACGCAACCACACAAGTCCCAAAAACAAAAATTTATATTTTCACTCTGAAACCAATTTCCTCTATCCAATTACCTGTGTTCCTCCTGAGCATATGATTGTGGCTAACATGGTGAGCTGAACAAAGGTCTGCTAGCACTCTTTTAACCCGGGGTCGGGCTTGCAGCATTGTGCCAATTGTTTCTGGGCCCAAATAGCAAGACTTAAAGATTTTTCCTGATGATTTCCAAATTCGTCCCTCAAGTGATACCACCATAACAGTAACATCATTGTGGTACTTCCTGCGGTCTCTTTGTGGGATGTCAAGCAATTCATAAAAATCCATCCCAGCTTTCTTGGCAGCACGGAATAAAAGTTCCTCAATCAAGTGCTGAGCAGGATCTCCATCGGGACATTTCTCCATAAAATCTTTAACATGAGAAACAACCTCTTCATTGCTCAAATATTGGTATAAACCATCAGAACAGAGCACTAAAAAGTGGTCTTTGGGGCAGAGTCTATGGTGATGCAGTGAAGGTATACAAGAAATGTAAGGTATTTGGCCAATATACTCATTGCGAAACATTTCCAATAGTGCATCATTCAACTTAGGCTGTTTCAGGAAGCCTGCCCCAAAAGCTCGAGTGACCTTTAAGCGACCTTTTACTCGGTCGTTAACAATGCAGTTACTATCATCAGGGTGTTCATTCCGGATTCTAGTAACCTCTTCTTCGATGCTAGTGCTATGATCAGTTGATAGTTACAGTGCAGTCAAACGCACATTTTGAGCTGAATCTTCTAAAATGCTCTCTCCAGCAGCATAAAGTGAACTGGAAATAGGTACTTCAGAACTAGACTGAGCCACTACCCACTATTGCCCGGCTGTCTCCAATATTCATCACATACACATCTTCGTCCCTCATCAAAACAACCAACAAGCAAGAACCCATCAAGGCAAGCTCTGGGTACCTATCAAGAACCCTTTCAGTCATATCTAAGTAGGCAAGTTCGGACACTTCAAGAGCTCTTGGCATTGCTCTTAAAACCAAGTCGTGATCGACAGGACCAACCTTGCGTTTCTCATTTCTAACAGCTCTTTCCTATTCAACTATATTAATCTCCTCCTCCACTTCAACTCTGTCCTTCCCCTTGCAGCCCAAATCTCCAAGGGAACAATTTCTTGCTCCTCATGTGCTTAGTCAACAATCCTTCTTTCAACTTTGATAATAACAAAGACCTACCCACTGCAAAACCTGCATTACTTACACTGATTGCATCATCTACTGAAAAGGCAAATATTTCCGGACCAGAAAGATCAAGCCTATGTTCAGTCTCATCCTCAGCCAGAAACGCCCACAATCTCCTCCTCATAATCTCGATCACAGTACACTGAAATGTCACCTTCTTTGCTGATCCATGAGTTTTTGGCGTCTAAAAATGAACAGGATTCCGTACACCAATGATAATTACAATTAAAATTTGTATGGATATATTATCATGAATATTTCATTGTAAATTCCAATATTATGGATATATTATCATGATTATTGGCGAATCAAAATCTCAAGGGAAATGAATGGTTAAAGGAGTTAGGGTTGATACCTCAAGCTTCCAATCTGAGAGAGCCCCAAATTTTCAGGTGGATTAAGCCGGCAAGACCTCAGGTGAAGCTGAACTGGGCGATATTGAGGCCAAAAGGGAAATCAACGGCTGGATTCTAGCTTCGTGAGCACTCCGGAGCAATATTTGCAGCGGATGGATTTCCTTTGAGCGGTTCGTCAGTGCGAGAGGAGGAATTTCAACAGGCACTGCGGCGGTCTGAAATGCTTGGATTTCCTAAGACGATGGCGAAGCCGACAGAGACGGCCAATGAATCGAAGGAGGCTATGGAGACGACAAGGGAGCGAAGGCGGCGGCGATCTGCTGCCCCGTTGAGGAGACGATCTGCTTCTGCGCGCTACTATGTTCAAGCGGTATAAGAGGAAAGCTGAGGAGAAAAAATGCGAAGTGTATTACTCCGTATAATAAACTCTAGCAGGCCGGCCCCTAAGTAATATCGACGCGGGCCTTTAAATATACTCCGTAAAAAATGAAAGTGTCACTACATGATACTCATGTATTTTTGTTAGAAAAGAGTGACACTTTTATGTCACTGATGTCATTTTATTAGAAAGTGTCACTATAAAAGTGTCACTGTAAGCCATTTTTCTAGTAGTGAAGGCACACTAAAGACCTTGATGAGATGGATATCCATGCTGTGTACAACACACTCGACCAGTATGTCGAGGATTTTTCTGATTTTGTTCACACGACAGTAATGGCTGAAAAAGGGAAGGCGGCTGTGGACAAACTAGCTGACACCCTAGCCCTGATGCTTGAAAAACCCTCAAAATCTGGTTCCAAGAAGGACAAGATGAAAGCTGATGAAAGTGAGAGTGCTGACAGTGACATAGGTTTCTGGGATGAAACTGTTGATGATGATGATGATGATGATGATGATGATGATGATGATGATGAACTGCGTGACTTCCAGAAGCAGATAGCCCTTCTTACCTCAAGGTTCAACAATCAGATGCAGAAAAAGAAGAACTCCTCAAACAACAGGCTCCGCAAAACCTCAACCAGCAACAACAAGAGGAAAGAACGCTCATTTGAATCTTCTGAGAATGGAAATGCTGAGGATGCTCCAAAGTGCTTCAACTGTGGGAAGACTGGACACCTGACGAAGGATTGCAGGATGCCAAAGAGGAGGAAAGACGTTAATTATTACAAGCAGAAGATAAATCTGAACAAGAAGAAAATGTTGCTGGCTATGGAAGAAAGCAGTGACAAAAGCGCTCTCATGGCAGAGAAGGATCATTGGATGGATGATTCTGATGATGAAGAAAATCTGGCCTTAATGGCAGTTGTTGAAGAAGAAGAGAAAGAGATTGTTCCTAATGATGAAGGTGAGAAGAAATCAACCCCCGCTGCTAATGAGAAGAAGGAGAAAGACACAACCTCCACTGCTGAGGAAAAGAAGAGTCTGGCTACCTCAAACAATGCTGATGAAGTGACTGCCCTTTCTGCTGAAAACAAGAATGTTGGCAATGAAGTAAGTACCTCTAATCCATTTGTTTATACTTGCTCTAGAACTGACACGCATGATAAAGTTAAAGAGCTAGAGGAGAAATTTGATAGAGCCTATGGTATCTATAATAAACTGCGTGAAAGACAGACATGCTCAAACATCAAAATAATCAATTCAGAGAAAATCATTACTAAGCTGACTGCTGAGAATAAAAGACTTAGTGCTAGCGAAAAGGAACTGACAGAGAAACTTAGAACTACTGAGAAAGAGAGAATTAGACTTTTTGGGTTAACAATTTTCTTTATGAGATAAAGGACTCGCTTTACACTAAAATCAAAGAACTCGAAGACCTGTTAGCTAAAAGGGGCCAAACCGACCAGACCATTTTTCTTAACCAGCCTAAGGACACACGTTTCTATAATTCCAAGGAGGGCCTAGGATTGACCAATCCTAAGAACCCGAAAAAGGTCGACTGTATCCAACTCTACGATGTTAGATACATGAAAATAGGATTGACCAAACTTATGGCCTTCACAGAAGCTGAAGAAACGAATGCCCTCGAGAATGAAAAAAGAAAGACAAAGGTTGGTGCCGAGGTTCCTTTTGACTATACAGAGTTGAACAAGAGTTATAAAACCAAATCACCCCCACTGACCCCATCTAAGGAAATCTTGACTTATCCTCCTGAAAAGGAAGCTGTGAAAGACGGAGAGGAACCTTCCACATCTGAACCCATTGTGAAACCAGCTTACTTTCCACCTCTTGTGAGGAAGTTCGTTGAGTTAAAAGAATCCTTTGAGAAGGAAAAACGGGTTTTTGAAAAAGAAAGAACAACTTTTAAAAGAAATATCCATTTTGAAAACCTCCTCTCAGTCTGACACAGCTTCTGTACCCTCTTCCCCCTCTTCCTCGAAAAACTCAGTTGAAACTTCTACCGATATTTTAAAGACTTCCTCTTCTCACTCTAAGAATCATTCTCTGACAGGGAAACTTGTGAAGAAGAGAGTCGAGAAGAGAGTAGAGTGGAATGAAGACAAAATAAGAAGGAAGAAGAGAGAAGAAGAGTCAAGATTAGGAAATAAGAATCAGCGATCGAGCGCTCTATTTTATGTTAAGAATAAGTCTAGTTCTAGCATTAACGAGCCTTCTACTAGTTATACTAGAAGAGCGGCTCCTAAGTCTTCTAGTTCTAAGATTTCTGTTTCGAATCGCTATCCTAATTGTATTTCTCTGAATTGCATTAAGTCAATGAAATGTTGTTTTTTTGAGTCTGATTCTTCTAGCAAAATAAATGATCCTGTTATTGTTAAGAATGATGCGAAAAAGCCCAAGATTGATAGGGTGAATGTTGAGACTTGAGAGTGAGGTCAAATTGCCATTTTTAAGGTATCCTCTCAAGATTCACTCAGTCAAACATCTGAGAAGGCTATCACGTGAACCAATTCTGAAAGATCATATATCTGAACAATCATTTAGGACAAATAAAAATTCCCTCGCTCCAAAAATGAAACAAATATGGGTTCCTAAGGCTGAAGCTGAACCATTAAAAATGAGAAATTCTTCTCAACCAGCCAGCCTAAGATCCCAAATCAAAAAGAAGTTGAAACAATTGCTCACTGTTGATAAGGAAGGACCCATCTGGCGATGGGTACCTAAGCTGAACTAATCTGTTTTGCAGGTAAGTCATGTGTGGCATCTTGATTCGGGTTGCTCGTTACACATGACTGGACAGATAGAACTACTGAGCAACTATTCTGAAAGGTTTGGAGGAAATGTGAGGTTTGGAAACAATGCATCATCGCTCATACTTGGGAAAGGGGATATCATCGGTGAGAGCGTCACAATCAGGAATGTGTCGTATGTGCAGGGACTGAAGCACAACTTGCTTAGCATTGGCCAATTTTGTGACAATGGAATGGAGGTGAGATTCCATGCTAAGCAGTGTTGTGTGATGGATATGAGTGGGAAACCATTATTAAAGTGTCAGAGGAAAACCAATCTTTACACTATTGATCTCAAATCGGTACGATCCCCCATATCCATCTGTCTCCTGTCCAAAGCATCTAAAGAGCAAAGCAAACTATGGCACAGATGTCTCTCACACTTGAATCTGCCAGCTATCAGTTCCCTCTCCTCGAAGAAGTTGGTGAAAGGACTACCTGTTCTGAAGAACTCCCCCAACCATCACTGTTTTGCATGTCATTTGGGAAAGATGAGGAGAGCTTCACACAAGTCAAAACAATTTCCCTCCTCATCTCGTCCCCTGGAGCTACTACATATGGATCTGTGTGGTCCGATGCGCGTGCATAGCATCAGTGGGCGCAAATATACTCTGGTTATTGTGGATGACTACTCACGCTACACATGGACCAAGTTTTTGCGCTCCAAGGATGAAACTGCAAATCTCATCATGACATTCATCAGGACCATACAGAACTATCTACAACAGAATGTGAAGGTCATCAGAACTGACAATGGGACGGAGTTCAAGAATAAGGAACTGACTGAATTCTACGAAGCTCAGGGGATTACACAATAGTTCTCTGTAGCTAAAACACCACAACAGAACGGTGTTGTGGAAAGATGGAACAGGACCTTGGTGGAAGCAGCCAGAACTATGCTGATACAGTCAAAGCTTCCTCACTTCATGTGGGCCGAAGCTATCAACACGGCTTGCTTCACACAGAACAGAACGGTGATTCACTAAAGATTTGACAAGACACCCTACGAGATTGTATTCAAGCGACTCCCTAACATTGCCTTCTTCCGTGTCTTCGGCTGCAAATGCTCCATTATGAATGACAGGGATGCTAGGGGGAAGCTTGATCCAAAGGCAAATGAATGGATTTTCATTGGATATTCCACCAATTCTAAGGCATACAGAGTATACTTGAAAGACAGAAGAACCGTCATGGAGAGCATCAATGTGAGCTTCTATGAAATGGCAGATTTGGCTTCTGAACATTTCCATGCAGAACCTTCAACCTCTGAAAACAACGAAACTCCATCATCTTCTGAAGTAGGAGGACAGGGAGGTGAGACAAGATCGGATGAGCACGTGGTACTGGACTCTCTGTTTGAGCACTTCTACAGCCAACCCCGTGCATCACCAGCCACTAATGCTACAACTACTCAGACCCCCCTGTTACCTGCTCTGACTACTGAAGTCGCAAACACTCCTACTCAGAATGATGATGAGCACACAGATAATGAAGCTGAACATGACCCGACTACTCCTATTCCTGATCAACCGCAGGAAACTGCAGCGCAAGAAACCCCAGAGGCACAACCAGATCAGAATACACTGACCCTGGTCATCCAATCATAACTCCACTGCCTCTACAACATGAGAGAAAGTGGACGAGGGCACATCCGCCAGAGCTGATAATTGGAGATCCATCTAGAGGAGTCAGAACCAGAACGGCATCAGTCAATGAATGCTTATATTCATGTTTCCTAAGTCAGAAAGAACCAACAAAGATGACTGAAGCATTGGGTGATCCGGACTGGGTGATTGCGATGCAAGAAAAAATGAACCAGTTTGAAAGATTGAAAGTGTGGACCCTGGTGCCTAGGCCGTACCGAAAAACCATTATCGCCACCAAATGGGTCTTCAAGAATAAGAAAGACGAAGAAGGTGTGATCATAAGAAACAAGGCCCGCCTGGTTGCAAAAGGTTACAATCAACAAGAAGGAATCGACTACGATGAAACCTTTGCACCAGTGGCACGAATTGAAGCGATCAGATTATTCCTTGCTTATGCTGCACGCAAGAGCTTCACTGTGTATCAGATGGATGTAAAGACGACATTTCTGAATGGAGATCTGAAGGAAGAGGTCTATGTCGCACAACCTGACGGCTTTGTTGATCCTGAACGCCCCAACCATGTGTATAAGCTGAGAAAAGCCCTATATGGCTTAA